TTTAAATAAAAAGTATTTTATTAATTTTACTTCAGACTCCGATGTGAAGAGTATTGACATGTTCGTGTACAGAAAATAACAATTCACTTAAAAAAAAAAACATCTTTCAGAGAAACAGTGAAGTGTCTCTTAAAAGAGCCTTTGGGGTTTGTATGGCTGATGTAATTAGAGATGTAAGCGCGCTCTCCGCGGATGCGGTGGGCCAGCTGGATGTCTTTGGGCATGATGGTGACCCTTTTGGCTTGGATGGCGCACAGGTTGGTGTCCATTGCCATTAGCCCTTGACAGGCTCAGACTACAGATTATAGTGGGATATTTGAAACAGCAATGCCAAGAAAGTTTACTCACTACAATATGGTGCAAACACATGTAACATTTAGGATGCTTTTGATATCAAGTTTTGCTGGTTAGCTTTGTCCTTGACAGGGTACAAGATGACCTACAATCTAAAACATGACATTTCTAAAATTGTTTTGTTCAAAATAAATAATGGTAAATTAAATACTAGGAAATTAACATAAAATATTAAATATACAAAGACAGTTTACTACAGAAAACTACAGTTCAGTTCAATTAACAACAACAACAACATTAAAATGGTCCAAGAACTGCAGAGTTCGTCTAGATACTGCAAAATAAAATTCCAGGACTTTCAAGGACTTGCACTACTTTTTTGGTTTTCAAGGACTAAAATCAGATCTCACTTATTTAATTCTAATTCTAATATAGTTAATTCTAATAAATAAACTAATAAAACAAAATGGTACAAATAAAGTGCAGCACATGCAAAGAATGCAATGACTGTGGCAAATTTATAATTTGAAAGGATACTATGGCAAAGTTATCGCTTTCCTTATTCAAACTGATTTTCTTCATGAATATATGATTGACCTGAAGAATGAAAGCTATATAATACACTTGGAAAATCATGAGCTTTATCACGCTCATAGACACTAGGGGTGTGACAATACACTTAGCTCACAAGGTGAGACAAAATGCAGATACTTGGTTCACTAGAATGAGACAATGTTTTAATACAATGTTTTAAGACATTTTCAAATGACAAAATATTTGTCTTTTAATCACAAAAAGTAAAACAATGC